GGTTCATGTCCAGCTCTTCATCCACAAGAACCCCCCAGTCCTTCTCTGCAGGGCTGCTCCCAATGCATCCACCTGAGTCTGTGCTCAGGTCTGGGATTGCCCCAACCCACGTGCAGGACTTTACACCTGGACATGGTGAACTTGGTGATGTTTCCATGGGCCCACTTCTCAAGCCTGTCCAGGCCCCTCTGGATGATATTCTGTCCTTCTGTTGTGTCAACTGCACTGCTCAGCTTTGTGTCACCTGCAAACTTGCTGAGGGTGCACTTGATCTCACTGTCTATGCCATTGATAAAGATATTAAAGAGCACCGGTCCCAAGACAGAGCTTTGAGGACACCACTTATCCCCAGGTTCCACTTGGACATAGAGCCATTGACCACAGCTCTAAGGCTGCATCCACCATCCAATGCCTTATTCACAGAATAGTCCACCCTTCAAGTCCACCCTTCAAATCCACCTCTCTCCAACTTGGAGATAAGGGTGTTGTGTGGGACTGTGTCAAAAGCCTTACAGAATTCTATGTAGATGACGTTGGTTGGTCTTCCCTTGTCAACTGCTGCAGTCACTCCATCACAGAAGGGCACCAGACTGGTCAGATATGATTTGCCTTAGTGAAGCCATGCTGGCCTGTCTTGGATCATCTCCTTTTCTTGTATGCATCTGAACATTGCTTCCATGATCTTCTGAGGCACAGAGGGGAGGCTCACAAGCCTTCAGTTTTCTGGGTCTTCCTGCATCCTCTTTTTAGAAATAGGAGCAATGTTTCCCTTTTTCAAATCACTGGGGAGTTTGCCTAACTGCCATGACTTTTCAAGTATCATGGAGAGTGGCTTGGCAACCACATCAGCCTGGGATGCATCTGCTCAGGCCCCGCAGACTTGTGCCTATTTAGTTTCATCAGGTAGGTATCAAATCTGCTCTTCGCTTACAGTGGGAGGGACTTCACTCTCTAACACCTGGGCAAGCATGTTAGCTAGCTGAGACTAATCCCTTACAGTTCAAATTTTGAAGTACTCTTTAGAAAAAAAAGGATTTTAATGCTAGAAAATTGCTTCAAATTTTATTTAACTTCATTCTATCCTAATATAAATAAGGCTACTTCTGTGCTATGCAATGGGTTAAAAAACAAGCGTTACCTCAAGATGAGATTTTAAAACAATGCAAATTTTTTCTGCCTCTCTTTGCAAGATCTACATCTGTTCACTGAGAGGATATTAGTGCTACATTCAACAGTATGCTTGTAGTATATATACATAGGGAACACCTGTATAATAATTTAAATAAATTTGCTTGGGGACTAATAATAGACAGGAAAATATGAGAGTATTTACCCTGAACTTCATGTGAGTTTTGATTGCTGCTGCCTCTACATTTCTGGAACCTAAGTTACTTTTTTAAAGTTAACTCAGTTTTATATATATATGTGTGTGTGTGTGTGTGTGTGTACGTAAACATGTCAAACACACCACACTTGTACAGGTACATCTCTTCCCTAAGGAATCACTCTTACTGTTACTGTAATGCAGACATAGCTTCAGTGGCATGAAGCAGGAATTTCCCCAGAGAAGTCTGTGGGTTTGCTTACATTACTGTGCAAGGGAGAGATGACTAATGTGAGATGAACTAAAAGAAACAGAAATGAAAAAAACCCCGCAACCTAAACCAGAACTTTAGACTAACAAACTTAGGAGGCAGAATGTGTGCTAGTGGAATTAGGGCTGCTGCCTCCAAGAACACTGGCTCTAGCATCTTTCATCTGTCACTAAAAATTAACTTCATAAAAAATGATCCTAGGAGGGTGTGATCACACTGCACTGCCTGGAGAGCTCTCAAAGGAAGCACATGCTCAGTGGTGTGATCACAGCAAAATGACAACAGTCTGATCTAAAAATAAATTGGTTCTTTGCTCTGAAGCTGGTTTCTCCCACAGAAACCAGAATCCAATTACTGCTCTAAGGGCTAGGCAGAGAAACAAACAATCTGTGGATGGCACTTATTTTCTATACATCATGTCTGCATGCCAAGAAGGTGAGCTTTCCTGTGTGAGGAAGCCTAAACAAGTGATTTGATCATAGACTATGCATAGGAGTAGAAACCCAATCAAATACTTTAATATAAAAGTCTCTTCTCAAACATGTAGCAACCATTATTATTCATTCTCCAAGACAGGACTGGACCACAACAAATCACAGTTCAGATCCAAGAGTGCTAAAAGATGAGACAGAAACTGTATCCAGCAGAGTATAATTTTGAGAGAAATAAGTTCTTTTGACAAGTCCATCATATTTGGGCATAAGTGCAAATGATGTACTGAACCTGACCAATCCTCTCTCACTGTCTAGGCTCAGTAGCTGTGCTAGGTGCACTGAGAGATCTACATCACTTTTTTATAATCCTTCCCACAGACCTAAGAGCAAAGCAATCTATTTCCTCCGGAGTTTACTGAGCACCAATATGTCACTGGGAAAACACTTCCCCTTTCATTCAGCTAATGATGAACCTATAAGACTAATTGTGAGGACTACTATAATTGCATCCTGTGTATTCTAGGTGCTGTTCTCATACAAAACAGCAGCTCCCATTCTCTTATAAAAGAGCTATTTTTTTCTGTGTATTATTAGTCATGAGGTACATACATGAACTAATAAAATGCTTAATGTTTTATTAACAGTTAAAGTCCTACCTGAACAAAGAGAAAGTCTTCTGGTGCCTAAGCCCTACCTGTTCTGAGGCACAGAACAGTATTTTGTCTTCTTTATATTACATTCAGAAGAAGGGGCCCACAACCAAGATCAGAGGGTTTTTTCCTCCACGTTTCCTATTTTAACAGAACAAATAGAATAAAAATTTGTTCCTCTAACTCAAACTCAAGTACTACCAAGAAAACCAGTTACAGCAACGTAACTCCTTTCCTGTTTCCTAAACTCTTTTAGCAAGTCAGGGCACAGCCATTCCCACAGACTCCAAGTGAATCTTGGTGCCTAATTTCAGAGGCAATTAATCCCTGAAGCAATTAGATCAGGTGAGATCTACCAGCATTCTCTTTTACCAAGCTGGTAAGTAGCTGGATCTGAAAGAGAGGCCATCCCAAAGCCAAAGCTAAATTATCTGCATCAGAAGTTACTACATGTACTGAACAGCAATGTTTAAGATCATCCATTCTCCGAGTTCTCTATATCACAGTGGTTGCTACTTTCCCTTAACATCGAGACAATTTTGTTTAATACTTAATATTCTTTTTAACGTATATACATAGAGAGAGCAGCAAACAAAGCTCTACATCTTTGCTTGAAAATCACCTAAAATCATTAATCAAACATCTTGTATCAAATGCTACATTCAGAGTGGACTATTTACTAGTAAACAGCTACTAGTAAACTAGCTACAAAGAAACTATCCCAACCCCAGCACTTCTGCAATGCTATCAAGCACTTACATTCATGGAGTGAAATATTTTAAAAAACACTGTGAGGTGTCAGGACACTTCACAGTATACGAGAACCTAAAAATAGGCCAGAAAAAGAAGTCTCAATTATCTCACTCTGAACAGAAAAAAAGAGAAAAACTTTCAGAGATAGCAAATTGTCTCTTTTTAATTTTTTTCATTTTATTAATAATTTCATTCAGTGTCACAAACAAGTACTAGTTTAAGTTAGTGCCATAACAAAGACGTAATCTTATGTGCCCTTGTTCCCCACCACAAACGCCTCCCTTCGCTCCCTGTAACAGCAGAGCATTTGTCCTGGAAGTCCAGAATGTGGTTGTCCAATACACACGTGGCTGTATAGCACATTGGCTCATCCCCACCCTGCACCTCAGAAAGAATGGCTTTTCATGGCTGCTCTATCTATAGAGACTGGGATTAAAGAGTGTGGTACACCTCTAAGAAGCCGGGGTAAAAACATATAAGCTGCAAGCCAGGTTACAGAGAAGCTTTGGAAGGGCCTCATAAGTACAATGCAGAAGGGATAAACCAAACAAATGTTGTGAAGACACTTTCTAAATTAATAAGCAAAGGTGTTTACAAACCCTCTTTAAGGTCTCTACAGACAGACCTAAAGAAACATACCATCTCACTAAGCTCCTGAACTAACAGTAGTTATTCCTAGTCCTAGAGACTTCATTCAAAGCCAATACTACCTTCATCAAAGCCTTGAAACTCAGTTTTAAATTAACACTCCTCTGACCACCCACAAGGAGCATCAGCACACCAGGTAAATCTACTGCCATTCCACATTGCTACCAGCCCATTACCACATCCATACCAGGACAGGCCTCACACATCAGACTTTCTCAGGGATGGAAGATCTAGTCCGGAAAATCTCCCTTTCACAAACAGGTCTGTTGGCTCTGACAGCATTGTTTGGCTGGCCCACACAGATCCTGTCTCACGTGGCTGAAAGCAACACCAGACTGATCCGGAGACACTCCCTCCCCTCAGCACCTGCTGGCACGTGAACAGAACCAGCTGAGACTCCAGGGGCAATAGTGAGGGGGTACAAGAGTCTTAGAACCTTAGGCAGGCTTTTATTCCTACGTGCAAAAATTATATTTCTCCAGTCAATACCCCTGCTACATTTGTCTTGCATTCTGCATCCTTTTTAACAGAGCATGTGTATGTCTGATGCCAGTGGGCTCATCCAGCATCCTATCAAACAGGTACCTTCCCCTTCCACCTCCCTGCTCCACCCAGCCACAACATCAGGAACAGCAGGTTTGATTATATTAAGTCTCAGTGTGATTAACTGTGTGTGAAAGGGATTCATGTTCACCAAATACATAGAGTATCTTCTTCCCTCCCTTCTGGGAAATAAAATTTTGCAGTCATAAGGACTCTGGTCTCTCCTCTCCCCTGTACACTTTTAACTGAAAGGAAAAAAAATGGTGGGAAATAAAAAATAGTTTAAAGAGCACAAACAGCACTGAAAAGACTAATAGAGAACAGATATCCAGGTAGAGGGATCAGGAAAGAGCCCAGAACACAGAGTCAACTCTTACCTTCTGCATGTGCCTGTGAAAGGTGAGCACAAAAATTGGAGACACGTGCACCACTCTGCAGCCAAGCTTCAAAAACCAGTTTCCTATAGTTCTTGTTCAAACAGTGGCACTTCAGTACTCTTCTCTTCAGCTTCTGTTTGGTTACTAATCCTTACTGCACAGGAAAAGGAGAGTTGTATTTCATTTAACCCATTCAGCCTCTCAGTTTCTTCACAAGAGTTTTCACTTTTGCTTTGGAAGGCCAGAGTCGTAAGCATGCACGCAGGCACGCCTGCTTTGGAATTGTTTCTAGCTTCTGTAGTCTGTGTGTGAGCACGCAAATGATCTCTAAACTGTGCCTAAAGTTGTTCAAGGGGCGGAGCACTTTGTAAACTAGTTTCATTTTAGCTGTAGGCAGCATATCAAAAGAGAGACAGCTATCCATGGATCCATTTGGTATTCTTTTTCAGTAAGTTCCTAACTCTGCAAAAAAAAAAATTAACTTCATATTTACTTTAAAATTATGGCCTGAATCACAGTTCACAGATATGCTTTTGACAAAAGAAAGTTTGAACTTAAATACAATTCACAGCTAGATTTGTATGTAGGCAAAGTCAAGCAGATTCCTAAGGTCTGAAAATAGCAGCACTTTAGATATGGATCGGAATTTAAACAAAGATGATAGCAGCACAGGTTTCTCTATTTTTTCCTCTAACAAATGCCATGTAATTCAGAAACTCTCTGAAAACTCCTGTGAAGGAACAATTTAAGAAGATAACTGCTAAATGAAAGGGAATCTAGTTGGACGCATTACAAGATAAAACTTGTGTTATTAACCATGAGGGTACTGGAGAAATCATTGTATAACAACTTAGGTGTTGCTGTTGTTTTATTTTGCAAGAGATAATTCTGTGTGTGGCCCCCCCCTTGATTTTGTCCTCTGCTTAGTACAAACCAAATAAATAATGAAATACAGAGACCACAGATCTAGAAAAATAGATGTTGGTCCAGCAATTACAATAGCTACCAGCATTTCAATCCTATTTAATATTTTGACTGAGGTCTCCAAGATTATGAGAATAGCTTTAAAGTCTTAAGTTTGGGTTGATCTTTCATATTTGCCTTCCAGTTTTAGAGTTTTTTTCATCAGTAGTTCATTTGTAACCATGAGAAACAGAACCTTGCTTTCAAAAGGAAAGATGAAGCTTCTACCTTCAGGTAACTCCACACGTTGGGTCTTCCAGGGAAGATATTAATGTGCAATGAAATTTCCAGAACTGACATCACTACTGTCTTCTTGGCCACCCTACTGCTTTAGATGATAAAAAGAGACAATATCTGTGGCAACTGTTGACAAGCCTAGATGTGCACAGTTCCAAATGGAAAAGAAAGTTTCTAACAGCCTCATAAACGTATCAGGTGACACAGAAGCAATTTTATTCCAGGGCTACAGCTCTTTTCATCCCTGCTGTTCAGTCCCTGTCTGGAAGCTAGCTGCAAAAGGTACAAATCCTGCTGCTACACATCCCACAGGGGACAGAGTTCAAATAAAAGTCACATCTTTTCCACAAGCAAAAGCAATCCTGTACTTTCCTGTCAAAGCTAAATCTGCCACAATAAACAAGGATAAGCCCTAACAGGAAACCCAACACAAACCATCAACACCTCCACATAGCAGCAAGGGAATTCCAAAAGATTGAAAGACAGTGCACCCCAGAAGAACATCTAGTGGTGGTGCAGATACGTGGCTACTTATGTAATCCTTGTCAGGAGAGACAACGATTGGACATTGGAAATGTCTTAATTAAGAATATCGAAATTATTGTCCTGCCCCTTTAGATTCAAATTTTCTTTTAAGAAAAATAAATCTGGGCCTTGGGCCAAGCTGTGGCTCCTCCTTTTCCACCAGAAAGAAGTTATATCAGCACATCCTTTTTTTTTTATCCACCTGTACTCTCAACTGGCCATTGGCTAATGTCATCCTGCCAGCTGTCACTTTATATCCTAAGCTTCATGATATTTGATCAAACCACAACCTGACCTCCCGGCCTTCTATGAATAAACCAAACTTTCAGATCAGTTTAAAGCTTTTAGCCAGTACCATTGGCAAGAAAAGGCTTGACATCATCCCAAAGGTTCAAAATCTAGAAGACAAAAATCCCCACAACTTCAGATGAGGTTATAAATGTGCAATTATTAAAATGTCTCTTATGGCAGCAGGACCTTCAATGAATGATTTTTTGAAATACAAAATTTAGGAATGTTCCTGTAGTTCTTGTGTTCTTGTTGATAGTTTAAACTACAAGGGAATTCAGACATGGGGAAAATATGACTGCCCGTGTTGGAATCTAGACAGCATACATCCAAAAAACAGCTTTGCCTGCTGCACTGAAGAAGTTATTGTGTAAACACATCTGGAGTAATTTTTAACCCCATAGAGACTTAATAGATAAGCTCCTCAGACGCTGAAATGAAAAACAGAAGTGACCAGACTTTTACCACAACTAAGCAACATGAAACATTGATTAAACTCCTTTTATTAAAAAAAAGAAAAGAAAAATATGTTCATACTTCCTGGTTGCAGCAGAGATGTGACAAAATCAGAACCTGTTAGTACAGGATTTGGACTCGAGGCCAGTCCTTACCAGGAAAAAGACAAGGCAAATATGAAGTTAACCTTTGCCCTGTGTTCCACAGAAAGTTTGGCGCATGTACCTTTTCTCTGTGAGAAAGGACAAGATCCCTGCGTTGAAATTGTTTTCAACACTTCCCATTTAGAGAAAGCAAGATAACCCACTGATTCAAGACCATTCTCATCTCTTCATAAGACATTGATGGATCACTATGGAGTCAATACAGTCAGGACCAGAGGAATTTGCCTCTTGTTACTAGTTCTATCCAGTGGTTAGCCTGGAGGCAATGGCATCTGGGTGTCACAGATGTGACTAAGGAGGAACAGCTGAGGTGAATGCATACTGAATTGATACAGAACACGATATCCCTTCTAACTGCATCAGTGAAGTGCTTTTGGCAAGAAGCAACCTCTACAGGAGCTGTGGCACTGGGATTTCCACAGTTAGATGGTCAGAGGTCAGTAGTAAGGCTTCTGCTTTCTCTTTTGTTATACTCCAGAAGTACTTTTCTTGGGAACAAACCACCAGGATTCCTTACTGCCAGAGGCTGTGTCCAAAGACTGTCTAAAGATTTGCATGCTTTACTGGATGCAGCTCCAGTAAACTAGTTATGGCTGTCTAATACTTACAGCATTGTAGAGAGGTGACCTAAACTAGATGTCAGATGCCCACCAAGATGCTCTATCACCCCTCATCCTCAACACAACAGAGGAAGAAAAATGGGTTGAAAAACTTGCCAAACATGATAAAGACAGGAAGATTACTCACCAGTTACTGTCATAGGCAAAACAGATTTGACTGCAGGGGCATTAATTACTGAGAAATAAAAAACCAAAACACTCCTCCTTCTTCCTAGGGAGGAATTTAACTCCTAACTTTCCTACCTCCTCTCCTCTCTCCCCAAGCAGCAACCAAGAAATTCAGACAACACTCACAAAGCCTCCAGAAGAAGAGCTGCTCTCTGTAGCTTGAGCATTCACTCAGGGAAGAATCTGCATTCAGTTTGGTTTCAAAATCTGGACCTCCAAGGAGACTTCTGTGACCAGGAAACAGTGGCACAGAGTCACATTACAAACTGCTGTTCTTGATCGCTCACTTCGTCATTTAGCCAAAGAGCAAGGATCTGGGCTGTTTTGATTATGGTTGGGTCACATGCTTACAAATAGGATGTTTGCCTTGCTTTGTTTTCAGAATAATATCCAGTTTTTTAGACAAGTGCAGTGGCCTAATCAAGGGAAATGTACAGCCATTTACATATTACCTGAGGCATTTTATTCAGGGGATATGCTCAAATATTTCTGAACATAGGATAATACTGAACAGTAATCTGACATCCCAGGTAAGTGTGTTGATGGCTGAATGAGGAAGTAAAGAAATAAGGGTCTCTGGGATGTCAAACCAAGTCCACTGCTACTGGGGACATTTCAGCATGTCACTCATTCCATCAGCTGCACAAGGGTCTGAAAATAGCAGGCTTTGGCTTACTCTGCAAAGAATTAATCTTTTGATATACTGTTTTTTTTCTTATTATTTTTTAAAGAAATGACAGTACAGTAAAATTTGATTCAACCTGAACTGAACTTTTTTCAAACTTGCGTAGTGCACCAATAACTTCATTCTTCCCACACTCTCTCTCACCAATGCAGGGTAGGCACAGGGTTTAGCCCTTGGAATCACAGCCTCTCAGTATATGGAATGTATCCTTGTCAACCCTTCAGGAAAAGCAGCTCAATTTCATGTCCAGATGTTACAAAGTCCTTAGAGGAAAGGTGGAAAGTGTATTACAGACTGATGAACTCTGCTGTACAACCTAACTGCATCAAAGCCTGTTATCCTCTTGCAGTAACTCTTACACTGGTTCATATCTGCTCCAGAGACCTGTCCACCTATGAACTCCTTCAAGCACTGAGGACTGCTGCAGAGGAGTTGACCCTGTACAACTTTTGCATAGATACTGCTACTAGCAGAGGCAATTTTATTGTGGTTTGCCAGCATGCAGCCACTGAAGTCGGCAATGCAAGACAGCAAAGAGATATTAGCTTCATTCCTATCCAGTCTCTCTTCTTGGACACTTCCATATAATGCAGCCCAGAACAGTGGAAACCAATGCAATCATTAGTATTTTGCTATAATCTGCTCCAGGAATGGACCAACTCACAAGCACTTGGTCTAGCAGGGTCCTCTTCTCTTAGTCTCTTCTTAATGACGAGCCAATTCCTGTGCTGTGCTCTCCAAAAGAGCCTTCAAATAAATTTACTCCTTGTATTCAATAGATACCTCTCTTCATCCATTTCCAAGATGAGGGAAATAGCAAGCCTGTCACTTCATATTTATTTTGATTCTCACTCAAATGAGGTAGGACTTTTACTCAGGCCAACTTTCTAAACAAGCTGGTAACGCTACATCAAGTTTCAGCTCCTCAATCTTATGACATTTAAAGAAGAAAAGCAGCATATATTGATAATGCTGGTGTTCAAAAAGCAAAAACAACTTCAAAGTGCTGTGACCAATTCCATGCAAACTCTGTTGCGAAAGGCAGTCCAATACACTGCACCGTAGGATACAAAGTGAAGGCACTATTCCATTGCTAAGACTATACTCGGATACACAAAGATTTGTGTATAAAAAACCAGAGGACCTACATGTAATGGAGTGTACATAATTTTTAAACCAACCCAACTACTCCTGA